GCGTACAGTTCTGGGTGCCACATTACCAAAAGGATGTGGATGCTTTGGAGAGAGTGCAGAGGAGGTTCACCAGGATGTTGCCTGGTATGGAGGGCGCTAGCTATGAAGAGAGGTTGAGTAGATGATTTCAAGGTAAGAGGGGAAAAGTTTAAAGGAGATATGCGTGGAAAGTTCTTTACGCAGAGGGTGTGGGTGCCTGGAACATGTTGCCAGCAGAGGTGGTAGAGGCAGGCACGATAGCATCATTTAAGATGTATCTGGACAGATACATGAATGGGCAGGGAGCAGAGGGATACAGATCCTTGGAAAATAGGTGACAGGTTTAGATAGAGGATCTGGATCGGTGCAGGCTTGGAGAGCCGAAGGGCCTGTTCCTGTGCTGTAATTTTCTTTGTTCTTTGTTCCATTGAGTATGGACCCAGAGTCCTCAACTACTCCTCATATGACCAGTCCTTCATCGCCAGGATCACTTTTGCAAACCTCCTCTTGAACCATCCGATGTCGGCACATCCTCCCTTAGAATATGAGGTCCAAAGCTGCTCACAATATTCCAATGTGGTCTAACTGGAGCCTACATAGCTTCAGCGGTACATTTCTGCTGCTGCATGCTCGCCCTTTTGCAATGAATGCTAACATTGTGTTTGTCTTCCTAACAGCTAACTGAACCTGCAAGTTAACTTTAAAAAAGAATCCTTAACTAGGACTTCCAAGTCCATTTGTGCTTCAGATTTCCTAAGCCTATCCTTATTTAGAAAATAGTCCATGCCTTTATTCTTCCTACCAAACTGCATATTGTATTTCATCTGCTACTTTCTTCCCCGCTCTCAGCCTGTCCAAGTCCTTCTGCAGCCTCCCCATTTCCTCAACACTGTCTGTCCCGTCTACCTATTTTTGTGTTAACTGCAAACTTAGCAACGATGCCCTCTGTTACTTCGTCCAGATCATTAATGTATAATGTGAATAGTTATTGTTTCAACACTAACTCCTGCAGAACTCCACTTAGATACTGGCTGCCAGCCTGAAAAAGACTCCTTTATTCCCACTGTCTGGACTTCTGCCAGTCAGCCAATTCTCTACCCATGCCAGTACCCTGCCACTAATGACATGGGCTGTCACCTTATTTAGTAGCCTCCTGTGCGGCACCTTGTCAAAGGCCTTCTCAAAATCCGAATAGATAGCGTCTACCGGCTCCTCTTTGTCTAACTTGCTTGTTACCTCCTCAAAGAATTCTAACAGTTTTGTAAGGCATGAACTCCCCTTGACAAGGATGTGCTAACTCATCCCTATTTTAACATGCACTTCCAAGATTTCCAAGTACTCCACAATCTCATTCTTGATAATGGTTCCTAAACTTACAAACAGAGGTCAGACAGGCTAACCGACCTATATAGTTTCCCTATATAGACCTATGTAGTTTCCCGTCTTCTGCCTCACCCTCTCCTTAAACAAGGATGTTACATTAGCCATTTTCCAGTCCATCAAGCCAGAAGAGTGATTAACTACTCCATGTAATAACAAGGCCTGGAGTGTGGGGGTTGGGGTAAGGACATGGAAGAAGCTCAAGGTCTAATGTTGCTGAACTCAATATTGAGTCAATAAGGCTGTAGACGTCCCAAGCAGCAAATGAGATGTTGTTCTTCCAGCTTGCATTGAGCTTCATTGGAGCACTGCAGCAAGCCTGAAACAGAGATGTTGGCCAAGGAACAAAATGGTGTGTTGAAGCGGCAGGCAACTGGAAACTCAGACTCTTTTACACTGACAGAACATAGGTGTTCTGCGAAGTGGTCACCTGGTCTATGCTTCATTTCCCCAGTGTAGAGGAGACCACATTGTGAGCAGTGAATGCAGTAGACTAGATTGAGTGAAATGCAAGTAAAGCACTGTTTCACCTGGAAGATAAGAATGGAACCAGGTGAATGAAGTTCACCCAGCTTTGGAACATCAGATGACTTTCGGTGAGGGAGCCAAAAGATGGTGTCCAGGTTAAGTTCTAAAAAACGTGAAAGAATGAAATTTCAAGAGTGCTTTTTGAGAAGGAAAACCAACATGAACTTTCACTCTTGACCACCATTCATCAACTCCCATGAGAAAGTGCACAAGTGTAGATGACAGGAGAATTTGGAATTAGGATCAGCATGTTGACCCGGTAGTCCAACATTCTCTCAGTCTGGGCTCACATGTCTGGAGAGGCAACAAGCATAAGAAGAGGGTTTTCAGCACATGTGCAATCTTCAAAAGAATGGATAGGATGAAAGAAATATCAAAGTAGTACTTTTCAAATCTCTGGTGAGATCTGGTGAGATAGCATCATAGCATGATATAGCGTGGGATAGTGTGGGAAATCGTATCTCACTAACTTGACTGAGTTTTCTGAAGAAGTAATGAAGAGGATTGATGAAGGCAGAGCAGTGGACATGATCTATATGGACTTCAGTAAGGCGTTTGACAAAGTTCCACATGGTTTATCTGGTTGACAAGGTTAGATCACATGGAATACAGGGAGAACAAACCATTTGAATACAGAGATAGTAGGAACTGCAGATGCTGGAGAATCCGAGACAACAAGGTGCGGGCTGGATGAACACAGCAGGCCAAGCAGCATCATAGGAGCAGAAAGGCTGACGTTTCGGGCCTAGACCCTTCATCAGA